AACAGTCAGAATTTAACTCAGAGTAAGGAGGATTTCCATGTAGAATAGGTAGGCTGGCAAGGGGTGTCAGAGCCTAAGCAGGATGAGAAGGGCATCCAATAGAGAAGAAGCTGTCAGTTGATAGGAGAGATTAGGTAGTAATCACCTGAAAACATTGATAAAATAAATACATATATTAAAGATAATGGCAGCTAGGTTTTCACCATTGGAGATGGTAGTTATAGTATGGAAAGAGAGAAAACTGGAATGTTTGGAATTGGAATTAGAGATATTAGTGTGAACTCACAGTTTTAAATATATAGAGGCCAAGAAAAGACGAGTGAACCAAAAACATATGAAGCCTAAATGTTGTGTGTTTTATTGAACCAGATCCTATAAAGGGCATTGGTTCAGGTGATGAAACTTGAATAGAATCTGAGGATTACAAAGTAACAATGTATCAATGCCAATATACTGATTTTGATGGTTATAATTTGGTTGTGTGGGAGAATATTTTTTGTTTTTAGGAAATACACACTAAAATAAGTAGTCAAAAATGATTGGGCATCAGTAAAGTAAGCAGAATATTTTCAAATGATTCAGGAAAAAAGGTTTTTGTAAAGCGTTAGAAACTTCTCAAGTTTGTGATCACTTAAAATTAAAAAAGTACATTTAATAAAAAATGATGCTGTGTAATAAAATCTCCATTTTGGCTCATTGACTTTGAACTCTATTATTTCAAGTCAATAAAAATAATTTGGGTTATATTCTTTCACATTTTTTGTAGGATTATTGGCCAAGGGAAGTTTATTTGGTAGACGATAGTAAATGGGTATACGATCTGAAGAAAATAAAAGAAGATAGTTCATTTACTTCAATATATACACATCTGTGGAAAAATGTTCCTCGAATGTATGATACAGTGGGGAGCATGGAGTCAAGATTAGAGGAATGTTCAGTTCTTTTGCAAAACCATGCCACTAAAATATTTGAATGGGACAGCATAATTTCTAAGACAGGTAAACTTTATTTTTATATGAGTAATTTTTATATGAGTAAAGTAAAACTATTTTTATACAGTTTTGTGTGTTAGTGTGTGTGTGTGTTTGTCTCTGTCTCTCTGTGTGTATTCTCAAAAAGAAGGAAATCCTATGGTGTAAAATATCTAAAAACATAAAGATAAATTTATTTTATTTTAAAACTTCTTTGTTTTAAAATGGCCCAATGCAGATTTTTAGTTGAACATGAACATGTGGATTCAAAGAAAGTGTTGCAAAGACAGGGCCTTAAATAGTTGTAAATTTTGCTAGGCCGAAGTGGAGATAGCTAAATATCAGGGAAACAGGATTGAATCAACTGATCCTGTTGCCAGAGACAAGCAAGCTAGCAAGTGTCAGGATATTAACAGAAATACCTAAAACCCAAAGTAAAAGGGATGAGAGTTGATCTACATGAGCTAGGTTAGCTTGTAGGAACTTTTTAGTGTTCAGTACTGAATAGCTACAGACTGAATGAAAAACATATCTGCTAGTAATTATAATTTTTACCCATTTTTAGTATTTGTATAACTTTTTTCTTGTCTAATTGTTTTTATTAACACTCAGACTAGTTTTTACATACTAATGGTGAATTTTGTCTTATTCTTGATTGAATGGGCAAACTTGTCATAGATAAGCCTTAAAAATACTGATATTGGTTATATTTATAAAGTATTCTCTACTTATTAAATAAATTTAATTAGTGATATTATTTAGATATTTAATATTATCTTAATGGGCCTTGATTTTTCAAATTGAGAATATGTTTAAATACACTACTATAAAATTTACTACTGTTTTATTTTAAATTTTCTTATTGAATCATAAATTATTTTTTAACATAAAATATTTTTGAAATATATATATGGAGAGAGAGAGAGGGCACATGTGCACAATTTAAAAAATAATTATATGTATATTCATTGTTCTCAATATGTAAATATCAGAGCTTGGACTCAAATCTAGGTTATTTGACTTCAGAGCCCCCCATAGTTTTTCACTGGGCCATGACCCAAAGTACTGTGCTTTATTGAATTTAAGGTAACCATAAAACCACCAATGCAAGGGGCTGAGCTATTTGAAAAACATGAGCTCGTTCAGTAGGAAGGGACTGAGGTAAAATTTTAAATATAGGAGAAAGAAGAACTGAAGACATATTAGTTGGAACATGACATCTCTAAAAAGCAAAAGAAAACAAGATATAATAGTTATTTACTCATTCGACTAAGAGTGTGATAGCATTATGCTTATCAAAATAGCTAGTTGATCCCATTGAATAGTTTCGTATGTAATTTATTTAAAATATTTACATTTTTTCACTTTTTAAGGAGAGATATATGTGTATGCACACGCACACACACACACACACACACACACACACACACATATGTTGTGAATTCTCATTCTTTTAAAGGTTCTCAAAGGAAATTGGAAAGTTATAAGGCATTCATAAGGAAATACCATAAGAAAAAGAAGATAATGGTATGGTATTTGTTTTCATATTTCTTGAAAAATTATATTTCCATAGAAAATATAATCACTATAATTCCATAGATAAGCTAATTCCATAGATAAGTTTTTGAAATTCTTTTTTAGTCTTTTATCATCTATCTATCTCTGGGTTTTATTTTTTTTTAATTTTTATTTTTTTTCAGGTTCTTTCTTTTTCTTTTATTAAATTTATTAGAGTGACATTGGTTAATAAAATTATTTAGGTTTCAAGTATACAATTCAATAATATAACATCTGTATATTGCATTGTGTGTTCATCACCCACATCAAATCTCCATTTGTCACCATATATTTGACCCCCTTTACCCTTGTTTACCTCTCCCTCCCCTTTTCCCTTGGTAGCCACTAAAATGTTGTCTGCATCTATGAGTTTTTGTTTGTTTTTCTTGTTCGTTTGTTGCTTTCAGTTTTATATCCAACGTATGAATGAAATCATATGGTTCCCAACTTTTTCTGTCTGACTTATTTTGCCTAGCATGACTTACTTTGCCTATCTCAAGATCCATCAATGTTGTAGCAAATGGCAACATTTCATCTCTTCTTATGGCTGAGTAATAGTCCATGGTACATACATTCCACATTTTCCCTATCCAGTTATCTACTGAAGGACATTTTAGTTGTTTCCATGTCTTGGCCACTGTGAATAATGCTGCATATATGAACATTGAGGTGCATATATATCTTTACAAATAAATGTTTTCAAATTTTGGAGGTAATACCCAAAAGAGGGATTACTGGGTTATATGGTAATTCTATTCTTAATATTTTGAGTAACTTCCATACTCATTTCCATAGTGGCTTTGCCAATTTACCTTTCCACCAGCAGTGCATGAGGGTTCCTTCTTTTTCCCCACATCATCTCCAACATTTTTTATTACTTGTCTTGTTGATAATAGCCATTCATACAGGTGTGAGGAAGTATCTCATTGTGTGTGTGTGTTTTTTTTTTAACAATAAGGCATATATATATTTACACTATGTGTTCACCTCCTATAGTTAGATTTCTTTCTGTCACCACATATTTGACCCCCTTTATACCATCTACCTCCCGCTCCTCACCCACCCCCTACTCACCGGTAACCTCTAGTCTATAGTCCATGTCCATGAGTCTCTGTTTATTTGTCCTCTG